ACACACACACACCTACCACTAGAAACTTTCTCCTTAAAGATTAGTTTTCAAGTCACTGAGAAAAATGGGTCTTGGGGTTATTTAGTTGTTTGAGACAGGGTCGTATTACATAGTTGAGGCTGGCCCTGATCTCACCATAAGTGAGCTCTTACTATAAGTGAGCCTGTTTCAAACTTTGGGCACTCCTCCTGCCTTAGCTTCTCCAGGTCTGGGATGACTGATGTGTGACAGAATGCCTGGCTAGCACTGCAGTTCCCAGACACTAGTATTACTGGCCTCGGGGCCTAAAACATTACAAATCTACACCACATAATTTTTTAATGTATTATTAAGTTGGCTTTTGGATACAGGGTCCTGCTATGTAGTTCAGGCTGGCCTTGAACTTACGATGTAGCCCAGGCTGGCCTCGAACCTGCAGTGATCCTCCCACCTCAGTCTCCCGAGTGGTGATACTACAGGGCTGTGCCACTATGCCAGCTACATTTAGCACTCCTTAAAATGTGAAGCACAACCAAAGGACCAAAAGCAAGGTAAATAATGTCACTTCCAGAATTACTGAACTGCTGCTCTGGCACTCCTGGGTGCACTGACCTGGGCCTCCGCAATGGTCCAGCCCCCAGCAGACGACATGAACCTCAGGAGAGCACTGTGCTCTGTGAGGAGGTTTCTTTGCAGCTTTAGAAAAGGCACAAGAAAGCCTCCAATCCTTGGTGATTCACAGTAGTCCTTAGCCAGGCACTGCCGGAACAGGGAATGGAAGAGACACTCTGGTCCCAGAAGGGGGCCCCTATGGGGAGCCCAAGAGCACAGAGGTGAGGCAAGGCACACACTGACTGCCCATCCTCACACAGGACAGGAGCGGAGTGGAGGACAGCGGTGGCTGGGGCTGCAGCGGAGACTGGGGAGGCCGAGTTCAGGCCCAGGCCAAGCACTGCAAGCTCCAAAGCAAGTGCCACAGAAGTATAACACGTGACACAAAGGACGAGGGACTCAGAGCAGCTCACACCTAGCTGGGGGAGCCTAGGCAGCAAGAGGAGCCCGCCTGGCGCCATCTCTGTTCTCACTCCTTCACTTTCCTTCTAAGGTCAAGGTTGGTGTGAAAGCTGCTTTGTCCCAACCAGTCCCCAGCCACACACTGTGCGCATGGGGAGCCTATACCCCGCAGGCACCCTGCCCCTGGAGTCAGGAGGGCTAGAAACCACGGGCCTCCACTTCCTGCCTGCACCCCCACCATGGCCCACTCCCCTCTTCCTCCTCAGCGCAGAGCAGCCTGGCCCCTCTCCCCAGAACCATGTTTTCCACCTCATTCTTGCCTCTCAGGCCAGCAATGTCCACACGGCAGGTCCAGGGTAAGTAGTGCCGTTTAATCGTGCCCAAACTTCAGTGTACTAAAACTCCCTGGAGACTATCAGATGGGTGATCACCACCACTGTTCTACAGCAGGGAAATTTTGCTGTCCAGCAGCAGAAGGGCCCTCCCTGCTCTTGGTCTCCTCTCACAGTGGGCAGGTTTGCATCAGCAGCTGGGGTGCAGGGCTGGGCCACTTCACATCCACCCACATACCTACCCACCTACCCACCTACGTATGTGCCCACCCACCTACACCTACCTACGTACCTACCCACTTACCTACCCACCCACCTACCCA